ACCCAGCTCAATGTGCTGCGGAGGGGCTGGCTGGGGCACGAGCTAGCCAGCAGGCAGCCCCTGCACTAAAGCACACTCATACCCCTGCCAGCACCATCAACATCTACACATGCATTGCTGTGCACTAAATAACACCACAATAGGATAGTACTTGTGTTTACAAGTACTTTCCTACACCAGTGTTTCTTAGGTTACTGCAGCCTCATAGGGCCACACATGTAGAAGCTGAGACTTTACCAAGGAGCTAATTAGTCAGCTCTGCAGTAAATGTCTCATGTAGATGCACCCAGGGATTTTGCAGCTGGAGCCAGGAGGAGTCCAGCTGAAAAAGTATAATGTGACTGTTTTGTAAAACTCAGTATTTGAGGCAACAAAAAAGCACAGCCTGAATTTGAATGCTGAGAGACACTTCAAGTTGCTTCCATCAGACATGGTTCACCCCCTCCCCTCCCACCATCCCCTATGGGGCAGAAACCTCAACTGGAATAAGCATCATTAACTTCATTCTACCATAATAAAAGCTGTGGCATTTCCAGCTGTGTGTCTGTCTGTCTGTAACGCTCCCAACCAACTCCACATGCATATGCATGGCCCGGAGCCTGAGGACAGGCAGCCGTAGAGGCAGAAGAGGAGCAGAGGTGGTTGGGGCCAAGATGTGTTTCCCACTGTGGGAAGTGTTGTGGGGAGACCCCCAGGGTGGGGGCTTGGCTTGCTGCCATGCGGGGGCGTGGCATGTGGGGGTGTGGGGGGGCATAACGCACTGCCGCAGGGTGCGGGGGATGCAGGCAGCGTTGGCTGGGTGGCATGTGGCCACAGGGTGGGGCACATCCCTCAGCCCGATCCCTGCATGCCCCCCCGCGGCCGTGCCACAAACCCCACCTGCACAGCCTCAACTCCCAGTGGTCATGCACCACACCACCCTGCACCCCCTGCGCCACATCCCAGGGCCACTCCCCGCATCCAGCGTGTACTCTCCATGCCATGCCCTGAGGCTGCATGTCACCCCACTCACAGCCATGCACCACACTGCACTGAGCACTGTGCACCACACCCCAGGGTTGCTGCCCGCACCATGAAGCCACAGCCGGCGGTTGTTCCCCCCACCATGGATGTTCCCCATGCTGCACCCTGAGTCTGTGCACCACATCCCCCCATGTGCCCTGCACCACACCCCGGATCCACTCCCTGCACCACACAGCTGGCGAGCACTTCCCGCAACATGGCCACTCCCTGTGCCACGCTCTGCAGCCACCCCCTCCACCCCCACACCCTGCACAGCCAGCCACCATGTCCCTCCATGAGCAGAGCACCAGGAAGGTGGGGTGGAGCAGGGCAGAACCCATAGCGGTAGAGGGAGCAGGGCAGTCTGTTTTCAGACTATGGCAATATTTTGGGGGATGGAGATGTGTCCTTCCCACCTGTGACATCAATCTTGAAGGTCAACTTCTGGCCTGCAGCCTCACAGGTGTATTCTCCAGCATCTTTCTTCTCCACCCCTTGCACAACCAGGCACCGGGATTTGCCCTCAGACTCCACCTTGAATTTCTTGCTGGCAGTGACCAGTTTTCCATCCTTGTACCACTTCACTTCAGTCTTGGCCTGGGCCACCTCGCAGCTTAGGGTGGCGCTGTCTGTGAGGGCGGCCTTTACCTCCTTCTGCACCTTCTCCTTATTTGCAAACACAATTTCGGGTTCTGATACAAGAGAACAATGCGGCTGAGTTATAACCAGAAACTTAAAGCTGCCAAAAGCAAAACAGTTCAATTCACATCTCTAATCTGACTGTTCACCCTTAAAATGGCCAAAACGTCATGTGAATCAGTTTCAGAGGTTTTTGTCCAATAAATTTTCTGGTTATTGTTTAACATATATTGTAAGAAAATCAAGGATCTATGTTAGCAAGTCAAAAACAGTTCATCACCATAACAGCGCTCATCCTAGACTCTCTCACGGCAACATAGAGCCAAGGTTTCATCTGGGTTAAATTCAGTGCAGGACTTTTTCTGCCTGCAGGGGGTTTTTTTATACAGCCCCTCTAAGAACTTCTTGTATAATCCCACCGTAAGTGCAGATATCCTAACACTCGCTGTTGTTATGGGCAGCAGGAATGGGGGCTGAGGCAGCGTGGGCACTAAGGCATATAGTTGACAGCCCAGAGGTTGCAAGTCCAAGGCCATGGCAGAAGTGTTTACAGGGCAGCCTGTCAGATTCCAATGAAATCTGTGAATTCTCCCAAAAACCTTGTCACAAGGACACAGGAAAGGAAGCAGCAGTAGCATTAAATTAGCACCTGCATTTCTGGCACCATGCAAACACATAGGAGGCAGCCCCTGCCACAAGGACTATCAAGAACTGGCAATAGACAGAGGGGAAAAGAGTCCCAGTCTCATACCCTCAACCAGGGATGGGCAAAATGGCAGGTTCAGCTGGCAGCTGGACTCCATTTCCCAGCAGCCCCTGCCTGCATTGCTGGGGCCAGCTTCCATAGAGATCCCAGCAGGGTCCTGGCATGATACCACGAGGCTGGGGTTTCTATGGAAACCAGCCCCAGCAGTGCTGGCAGGGTATGGCACATGGCGGGGAGCTGCTCCAGGCTTGGGGTTGGGATCTTACAGTGGTGACAGTGGTGCAGAGCCATGATCTGCTGCTGGCACACTGCTGCCCAGGGTGCAAGGGCTGCAGATCGTGGCTTTCGCTGGCTCCAGACCATGCTGTCATCACTGCAAGTTCCCAGCCCCTGAGCAGCATCCTGCCCAGCCATGTCTGCATGTCTTCATGCACTAGGCCTTCAAACAAATTAAGCTTTGGAGTCTTGTATCAGTGTTTGCACACACTAGGTTTTTGAACAAATTAAGCCCAGCCTGGGGCCAGTCTCCATGAAAACCCCGGCCCCATCCTGTCGTAGTATGACCACTGCCAGTGACACAGGCAGGGGCTGCTGGGAAATGGAGTTTGCCACGGGCTGGACTTTGCCCTCCCCTGCTCTAAATCCTAGCTCTGTAGTTCTCAACCTTTTTAGACTCAAGCCACTCCTCTGAAAATGTCAGCTCTTAGGTTTCACTTGTGACTATGGAAAAATAATAGAGAAATTGCTGTGCTGCAAAGAACTTAGAAAGTTTATGATGGGTCAGAGTGGTTTTCATATCGTGGATTCCTATTTGAAATCTCTGGGTTCATCTTGTTAATCATGTGTGTTTGCATACCTAACCATGCTAGTTTTGTGCAGAAGCCTGTGGCCCCCTTCAAAGGATCTCACAGCACCCCCGGCGCCAAAGCAGCCTGGTTAAGAATCACTGAACTAGATTAAACTAGTTCTGTGTCACTCAGTATAGATCAAGCTGTGAGCTTCAAGCATGACTCTTTAACTTCCCCTACTCACGCCTGCAAGTCCACACAGTTCTGGAAGGAGGCACCTTGCTACAGATAACACATGATCATTGTGGACTTTATCGCTGGTCCCCTGAGCAAGATCCACTATGCGGTGATTGAGTGCATGTGAAGTATAGCATCCAGGAGAGTGTGGGTCTAGGATGCATAGCAAAGCATCTAATACATAATGTAACCTGATGGAAACCTGGACTGAGGCAAGATGGGTAACGTAGCTCAATGATATTCAAAGCTAGATGGCACCTCTCCAGTCGTGGCTTCATTCGGGTAAGGCCAGGAAAGCTCATGGGATATAGGTGCCAGAGGATGCATCTACTGCGGAGTGCAGAGACAGACAGGTTCTTCAGGGCTCTTGGGTAAAGCCTGCATTCCTGCAGCCCTGAATGCTGACAAATGCATAGAGATGTTTTGCTGCACCCCATCCCTTCCCAGCTATGGTCCCATCAGGGGGTGAAGTCTTTTGGGGCAAACCAAGCTACATAGGCTGGTGTTTATCTATGCACCCAGCTTCATGCTGAGAATGAAATGCTTTTCTCCCAGAAGGCTACAATCACCAGTCTGTCTGCAGGAAAAGGATGGGTGAGCCGGGGTGGCAAAATCCACTTTTCTAACCCGGAGCTCCATAGTAAGTGCATCCTCTGGTATCTATTTCCCGGGAGGGCTCCTTCTGCCCTTATCCCTGGAAAGACACAATCTAGCTCTGAGTATCATTGCGAGATGTTACCCATCTTGCCTCAGTCCAGGCTCCCAGGCAGTTTCAGCACAGCTCACACACAGATAACACTCCAGGCCTCACCTTCTACCCCACCTGTGGTTGGTAGGGCACACTGAGCTCAAGTGAAGGCAATCCCTTGTCTCCCACACCAGGTCTCTGGGACCAACATAGAGAAATCTTTAGGGAGTGCAAACACCTCTGCATGGTACTTCACTACGGCCCAGGCCTGCAACCTCACTGGGGTTGCAACTAACATTTGTTCACCAACACTCTGGGTGAACCAACATACCTGTAAGAAAGGAGGGGTTGCTGCTTGTTCACAATAGGCTGGGCCCATTCCAGATAAGTTGAAGATAATCTTCCCTGACTTGAAGTACTTATAAACTACTAAAAACAATACACGGCTTCAAAAGTCCTCAACCCGTTTTTGCAGCAAAGCTATAGGAACCACAACTGATCCCTTTATTTGCTCCAACAAATGAAATTCCGGTGAACAAGATTCTTAAAATATAACATTTATTCAGTCTGCTCAACCTGCTAGGAAGAGGAAAAATAGAGGAAAACAGAGTTGTCTCACCTGTGACGCTGACCTGAAAAGTTAGTTTCTGGCCAGCTGCCTCACACGTGTATTCTCCAGCATCTTTCTTCTCCACCTCTTGCACGACCAGGTGCCGGGCTTTGCCCTCAGACTCCACCTTGAATTTCTTGCTGGTGGTGATCAGTTTTTTGTCCTTGTACCACTTCACTTCAGTCTCAGCTTGGCCCACCTCGCAGCTCAGGGTGGCGCTCTCCTTGAGGGCAGCCTTCACCTCCTTCTGCACCTTCTCCTTGTTTGCAAAGGCATCCTCAACTTCTGTAAGTGAAGAGAAAGCACAGAGTCAAGGAGTGATGCTTCCCTTTTGAGACGGTGGTTTTCAGATCCACAGCACCAGGTGAACCAGGCTCGGTCCTGGGGCCTGCGCTGTTCAATTTCTTCATCAGCGATCTGGATGATGGGGTGGAAAGTAACCTGTTTAAATTCGCTGATGACACCAAAATCTGGGGGGAGGTGAGCACGCTAGCAGGGAGGGAGAGATTGCAGAGGGATCTGGATAGGTTACAGGGGTGGGCTAACAGGAACAGGATGCGTTTTAATACGGACAAGTGCAGGGTGCTGCACTTGGGCAGTAGGAACCAGCAGCACACTTACACAATGGGGAACTCCCTACTTGAGAGCACGGAGGCAGAAAGAGATCTTGGAGTCATTATTGACTCCAAGATGAACATGGGCCGACAATGCGAGGTCATGGTTGGCAGGGCTAACCGGACCTTGTCGTGCATCCACAGGTGCATCTCGAGTAGAGCCAAGGAGGTGATCCTCCCCCTCTACGCGACGCTGGTCAGGCCACAGCTGGAGTATTGTGTCCAGTTCTGTGCGCCCCATTTCAAGAGGGATGTGGACAACATGGAGAGGGTCCAGAGGAGGGCCACCCGCATGATCCGGGGACAACAGGGCAGACCCTACAGTGAGAGACTGCGGGACCTGAACCTGTTCAGCCTCCACAAGAGAAGGCTGAGGGGGGACCTGGTGACTGTCTATAAACTCACTAGGGGGGACCAGAAGGGTTTGGGGGAGACGCTGTTTCCCCTAGCGCCCGCTGGCATAACAAGGAGTAATGGGCACAAGTTGATGGAGAGGAGGTATAGATTGGACATCCGCAAAAACTACTTCACAGTTAGGGCGGCTAGGAGCTGGAACCAACTTCCAAGGGAAGTGGTGCTGGCCCCTACCCTGGGGGTCTTTAAGAAGAGGCTGGATGCCTACCTGGCTGGACTTGTTTGAGTCCCGTTTCTCTTTTTGGGGTTTTTTGTTGTTCTCCCGCCCTGGCGGGGGGTCGGGCTAGAAGATCTACTAGGTCCCTTCCGACCCTTAATCTATGAATCTATGAATCTAAACCTGTGATAAACAAATCCATGGCCAGCAGTACAAGTGTTATAAAGACTGGAATCAGTAAAGAGTTCACAATGGCTGATTTAATGGATGACCTGGAGATAAAAATCTGTCCTAGGATGTCCTGAGCCAGAACAGCCACAAGTGAGAACCATCTATCCTGGCAAACAAACATACACACACATATACACAGACACACATACACATACATGCACACACCAGTTTCTCAGGTCTATCCTTTATTATTTAAACACAGCCAGGACATTGTCATTTCCATCTTCATTATCATTTAGATTTATATCCTGCCCTATCCAGAAACAATAAGAGGCTTAGAACAAAACACCCTTGAGTGTAGGTTGGATCCAAATCTACATGTCACTGGATCTCTGGATAAAAATGACCTCAAGTTTTGTAAAAGTCTGGATGTGAACACACGTCCTTGTATCCAAGCCACATCATCTCTGCAGCAAAGCCATAAAGACAACTGATCCTTCAAAACATAAGAGGATCCCATCCCACCAGGTGGCTGGATCACAAAGAACAAGTTTGCAAGGTCTTTAAACCTTCATGCTTCATGGCAGGAGCCAAATACCTAGTAATAGGAGTCAAAAGGCCTAGGATGTCCCATAATCATTTGCTTTGAGCTTTCCTGCAGTTTCCTTCGAAGCAGCTGGTGCTGCTTATTGGTACAGCCAAGCTAGTGGACATAAGGTGCCTGTACACACCACGGGTTTTAATCCTCATTAAATTAAATAGGTTTATAAAATTTAAACTTGTTTATTTTGGAGTGTCGCATCAGTGTTTGCATGCACTAGGCTTTCAAACAAATTAAGCTTTGAAGCATCAGTGTTTGCATACGTTAGGTTTTCAAAATAAACTCAGTCTCCAGCAAGTGCCTCAGGAAAGTGGGATGGTCCAGCATTGCCACCCCCCACAGCCTGGGGGTCTCTACCCCATACCCCATGCCCCATGCCCATGCCTGTGCCCGTGCTGCAGGGAGCTGGCAAACCACACAAGAAAAGAAAAAGTGGAACCAATTTGAAAGCAAAATCAATTTGAACAGGTGAACTACAAAAAAGTCACAGCCATCTGGTAGACAAAGAGGCTCATTTCATGTCTCTGAGTGCCTTTGTGTTTGCACGCAATTAATCCATGGATGCAACACTTTAATTCCTGGTGAGCCAAACTAAACTACATCTGAGGAGTTTTAGTTTAATGCACCAGAAAGACTTTTAAAGTAGCCAGAAATCCAGCTCATGCAAACAGTCATGCAGTTGCAGAGCAAGAAAGGGCAAAAAATGTGGCAAGTACAAAGGCCCTAGGAGGCTTATGAGTCTGAGGGAGAAGCTACATATTACATGCAGCCCATAGTCAATCAGTGGAAAGTGAAGCAGTGTTAAGGTTGGAACGTGCTGTGAGCAGTTGCATTTTAAATGTTAATACAATCTCTTGCCTGCACAGCTCTGACTTGGCACTAGCAGGGTGGCAGGAAGGGGCGAGGCTACAGTGTTATGTCACAGCTGTAGAGTGCTTTCAGGGGCCTGATCATGTGAAAAAAGTAGCCTATGTAAGTGCCCTCAGAGGGCACTTAGCATGAGCTAATGAGCCTTAACGTACAGATGGTGATGCTCACGATTTAAGTGCCCTTGGCATGGCCTAAATGTAATGTATAACTTCACCATGAGCCAGTATGGCAAATGATATAGCTGTATCACAGCTGTGTAAAAAAAGGCCCAAGACATCTCAGCCTCCTAAAATGTACCCAGGGGGCTCATCCAAAACCCACTAGAGTCAATGGGAATTTCAGAATGCAAAGTTAAAACCCATTTAACTTACTCCTCCTGGGCTAGATTCCTACCTGGTACAAATCAGTACCAATACAACCGTTCAGTGCTTCTCAGCCTTTTCAGATTCAGTGCATCCCTTGATAGACATGAGGCACCCCTCCAAAGAGGTCAGATCTTAGTTTTCACTTGCTTTTTGACTACCAAAAAAGAATAGAGCAACTCTTCTGCTGCTCAGAGACCATGATGGGTCAGCATACTTTAACACTATCAATGCCTAGTGGAAATTTCTGGGTTTATCTTGTGAATCATGCTTGCACACCTAGCATTGTGTGGCACTCCACGGCACCCCTGAAAGGATCTCCGGGCACTCTGGGATGCCACAGCACCATGGTTGAGGATCACTGCACTATTTAGAGATGCAGCCCAGGAGTCTTTAGGTCAACTTTCCAGAGCATAAAAGGAAACATAATGTGCATGAACTCAGAATATTCAAAAGAGAAAAATTCAACAATCAGCCCCAGTTCAGCATGTTAACAAAAACAAGACTCTCTCTCTCCCACCTGTGACGATAACCTTGAAGGTCAGTTTTTGGCCCACAGCCTCACAGGTGTATTCTCCAGCATCTTTCTTTTCCACCTGCTCCACAACCAGGCGCCTGGATTTGCCTTCGGACTCCACCTTGAATTTCTTGCTGGCGGTCACCAGTTTCCCATCCTTGCACCACTTCACTTCGGTCTTGGCCTGGGCCACCTCGCAGCTTAGGGTGGCGCTCTGCTTGAGGGTGGCCTTCACCTCCTTCTGCACCTTCTCCTTGTTTGCAAACACATCCTTATGCTCTGCAGGGGGAAAGGGGAGTTTAGGATTTTCTACACGCATTGTCTTATAGATATAGCACAGCGCTGGGCAGGGAGAAGCTTCAGTCCTAAGAAACCATTAGCCACAAGCCTTCTGTGGCTCCCGATATAATTGCAAATTCAACTTTAACCTTCATAATGCCTCTAGGGCACCTCCCTTAAAATAAACCAGCCCAAATGCTTACGTTCAACCTCTTGTAATTCCTCAGGAGAGCCACATGCCATCTGTGCAAGAATATTTCACCTCTGTCTTCCTTTTACTTTACTTATTAGACACCGTCTTTTGCACAAACTTTCCTGCCTGGTCATTTTAATTTCCTTTTCAAGATTACTGTTTGCTTTAAAGTAAACGATGGCATTAAAAGGAAGACAGGGAGGCCCTGCTGGCTGCCATGAAGATGTCCATAATGCCAACACCACCTGGAAGTTTCGATGCTAATGGTGGAAAACACACACCATGAAACAGAATCAGCAGCTATTGTTTTTTGGTAGCATATCTGATTACTCCATTAGTTTCTTCCTAATTTGGAGGCAAAACCCCAAATCTCTTCAAAAGTCTTCTGGCCTCTGATTGGACAAACCAGAAGAACATGCATTTTATGCTAGAAGGCTTTGGCCACCAATAGCAGCAAATGGGCTGATGAAAAGAAATAGCTTCTCCCACCTGTGACCGTGACCTTAAAGGTTAGTTTCTGGCCGGCCGCCTCACAGGTGTATTCTCCAGCATCTTTCTTCTCCACCTCTTGCACGACCAGGCTCCGGGATTTGCCCTTGGACTCCACCTTGAATTTCTTGCTGGCGGTCACCAGTTTCCCATCCTTGCACCACTTCACTTCGGTCTTGGCCTGGGCCACCTCGCAGCTTAGGGTGGCGCTCTCCTTGAGGGCAGCCTTCACCTCCATCTGCACTTTCTCCTTGTTTGCAAACACCTCTTCAACTTCTGCAATGGGGAGAATTCAAGTTAAAAACCCAGAAGGAACAAATGTATTGTGGCCAATGGATCGTTGCAAGCCTTTACCGCAATCGATCTCCATGATCATTCATGTCAGAAAGCTCTGCTTTACTTATACGTTCCCAACCGCATTAACAGCATCGTATAAATGCATCCTGGTCATTTGGGTTCTCTTTTTAGGTAGGCAACCTGGCTTATTTTTGAGTTTCTACTACCCGTACTTCAAAACAACTTTTTTTTTGTTTTTTCCAGGCTGAACATCTGGTAATGACACCTATTTGTCCTTTTGGGGAGTAGGTCACCCCTACTGCAACTAGAGAAAAACAGAACCAGAAAAAAAATCAGTCTGGAAGGGACTTCAGGAGTCATCTAGGCCGAGCACCTACTCGGGGTAGGATCATCCCTGTCTAAAACCACGCTGAACAACTATTTGTCTAACCTGCATGGAAAAACTTCCAATAACAGAGACTGTACAACCTCTTTAAGTAATTTATTGCAGTGCTTAACCACCCAGAGTTAAAATATTCATCCTAAATGTCCCTTGTTGCAATTCTGCAATTCCAGCCCATCACTACTTGTCCTGTGGACGCAGAGAACAATTGATCACTCTCTTCTTTATAACATCCCTCTGTATTTGAAGATTGTCAGCAAATCCCCCCTCCGTCTTCCCTTCTCCAGACTATATCATCCTAAAACTTGCAACATTGCCTCATAAAGCATATCCACAGTCCATTAGCGTGCCTGTTCAACCAATTCAAGAAATTCCTTCTGACCTTAAAATCTGGGACATTCAACATACATAGCACCTCAATAGCACAGCAGGAGATTTTACCTTCCTGCACCTAAGACGTGCATTGGAGGTATTTAAAACCCACTGACAGCAAAAGTAACACTTTTGTATTTCGGTCTCAGCAAATGAACCAGCATTGAAAGATACCATATCCAACACATGATAAAAAGCATGTATCCATGTAAAAGGTAATGATTTGCCACCTTGCTAACTAATGACTAGCAAGTCTACCATATTTCCTGCTTGAGGGAAAAAAATATCTTTATTCTCGAACATTGCATTAAATGTAGTGGGAAGTCCGTTTTGTTTTTCTTGATTTGCTACATTCATGAACATATACATGATTCCCCTTTTACACCACTGCAAAGCCGAAGCAATTGTGTCGAAGCCAAAAGATTTACACTCAAGTAAAATGGGATGTATTTGAGAGGAGCTTCAGGTAATAGGTATTATGGGGTTGAGGTTTAAACACTGGCCTCCATTCTTCTACAAACTGTTTGCCCCTACAAGTCATCGCAGGTGCCCCTTTGGGTCATTCAGAGTAAGTCAAAGCTGCAATGAAGAGGTGTGAAGATATACCCGAGATAAATGTAATCTAGTTCAATTAAGTGACAAGAGCTAGGAAGCAGCAGCAGCCTGGACTCGGCACACGTGACAAGCCCATTTTGGAGCAGGGTACCTACTAAGGGGCTTAGAGCAATGACATTCAAGCCTCTGTGCCCCGTATCAGTGGTGGCTATGTTAAAGCTAGCTCAGGTATGTCTACACCAGCTGCTGACACACAGTATGGACATAGCCTTGGACTCGTACTATCATTTATAGGCACGGCTAGGATTGGTCGTCTCAAAAAATTAAAGAGGATCCAAACTCTTTGCATTCAAAATTGCAATCGCCAAACAAAAGGCAGCCCAGTTTAGGATAACCCAAATTATGAATTTGTTCTGCAGAAACATGGTTCTATGAATCAAATGAATTGTGAAATAGCTTGCATAATTGGGTCAGAGCGGTACGAACAACAGACTAATCATTTTATTCTGTTTTTTTCCCCACCTTTTAACATTAATCCCGGTTTATATTATGAGGAAATGGAAGAACTATTTTGATTGGCTGAATTATGCTGATTGGTACTTTGCTACTCTGGTAGGATCAAGTTTATCCCACAAGTGACTTCATTCCCTGCAGCAGATTTACAGTACAAGTGAATACGACCCTTAGAAGATAAATATAGACACAAATATTTCTAAGTTCATTTAGAGCAGTGGCGCGTCACCTATCCAACCCCCAGACTGGATGGGTGGTGCGGGGTTGGTCTGCGGGCCGGATCTGGTCTGTGGGGTCAGTCTACGGGTCTCAGCTTGGGGTTGGTACACAGGTGCAATGCTGTGTGCTGGATGCAGCGGCAGAGCAGGCACATCTGCCAGCCTGGTCCCATCCCCTGTGCAATGACGTGTGCATGGAGCCGTGTCATCCAGCCCCTGGAGCTCCCCGAGGGTCCGGACGTGTAGTGGTGGTGGTGTTAGTGGCCACAGCTCTGGGATCTGCTGTGGCAATTAATCTTGCCTTTGCTCCCCTGCTGCCGGGGAGCCCTGCGGGCTGGATGGTATAGGATGGTATACAGGTGGGATGTGGTATAGGCCAGATCCAACCCCCGGGTGAGAGTTGAGTGCCACTGATTCAGATCTTCAATTTAAATGGTAATTATAGGTAAACACACTGGACAAAACTCTTAGCTGGTATTGAACATGAGGCAGCTCCAGTGAAGTTAGCAGACACCAACTCCAAAACATATATGAATGCAATGGCAACAGAATAAATTAAGAGCCAGAAAGGCACTGAACTTCTGGATAATCTCGTAAGATGAGGATTTCAGCAACAAATAACCCAGGTGCTGAAAAAATACCGACCGATTCCTTCTGCCTTTCAAGGCTGGAGCAGTTTTCCACTGAGCTGCTGGACTTGCATGATACGACATGTTGGAGCATAAGTGACAAACAGCCACAACTACCGGATAAGCATTCTCCTGACGGGTGGGGAATGGCTATGGCAATATCATGTGTAGTTAGGAAGTAATTTATTTTGATAAAGTCCTGGAAATATCTGGTCCCTTATGCCAGCAGGCCCTTGCCCGCTCTTTTTTGGTGATAGTCTCAGAACTATTCTGCGGCTTTGCATCAGCAGTTGAAGATAACCTCATCCTACTTTCTTTGTCAATGGAGGGCAGAGATGTCCCGTGCAAGGACAGCATTTCTGTTGGAGAAGATGAAAGCACACAGAGTACCTCCATGGGCATGGGAGGAACAGCACCGATGGCAAGCATTACAAAGGAACAGCACTCAAGGTGCACCCTGTCTCAGCCTCTGATCCCTAGTAGATGAGGAATCAGGTGGCCAATGGCCTCCCAGTGTCACAGCTCCTTTGGGAGCGCCATGGCAAGGTGCTCCCTGCCTGCCTGGCTGCAGCGGGGCACAACTCTGCACCCCCACACCCACTGCTGCCAGGTGGGCAGGAGATGCCATGGTGGCACAGGGCTCCCAGTGGCAGCATCCACCCCTGGTCCATGCACAAATTTTGGGGGCACGTGCCTGCCATGCCCCTGCCACGGAAGAGCACAGTGGTGGGGAGCCATCTCCCCATCGCTGCCCCGCGGACGAGCTGCTCGTGGCTCCATCCCACTCCCCAGCCGGGCCCTGCAACCACACATTCCCACTCCAGGCCTGGATCCCAAGCCCCAGGCTCCACGCAGCACCCCCAACCCCAGTCCAGCCCTACTGCCTCCCTCGCTATGGGGGTCTCAATCTCCCCCTCCCTCCCTTGCTATGGGCATCTCAATCTCTCCCCCCAATTTACCTGTGGGAAGCTGCAGGAGCTACCTGGCTCTGCATGTGCGCATGCACGTGGCACCCCCGATCGCCCTCCTCCCACTCCCACCAGCCCCTTGCAAGCTGGAACTCTGCCAGCCTGCAAAGGGAAACCTACTGCTTCCGTGTTTTTCTCCTTTGAAAGAGAAAATCTGCATTTTTTTCCTTAAAAAGATAAAACTAGCTTTATTTTTCTCCTTAAAATGAGAAATATCTACATTTTTCTGCATTTTGCCATAGCAAACGGAAAACCCGGATCCCTAATAACAACTAAGGCTATGTATACACTTGACAGCTAGGGATGACCTTAAAACTGTACTCAAGCCCATGACTGTTGGCCATCTCACTGAAAGCCCCTAAGTTTGATCCCTAGTAACTATCCAGCCCAGCCCAGAGCTCTACTCAAGGAATATAAAGCAGAAAGATGGCTTTGACACCAGCTACAAAGTAAGGCATAGATATGAGAATGGATTACGTGGTAGTTTATATGGCTCAGGCTGGTTGAGAGTGGTGACAGCAAAGTTGATCCTAGCTATCGGGGTAGATATGCCTCAACTTGAGAACAAGACACTATTGAAAGAAAAAACAAAATCTGCTGGCATCACTACTTGTTATGCCAAGAGCAGAGCTGGTGCCATGCAGCCACCTCCTTCAGACCCTCCCTGCACCACCGATCCATCTAGGGAACACTAAATACCAATCTTCCTGAATTCAAGACATATTGGGAAAGCCAGATGAAAGGGTAGTCATTACAACACAATGTTCAACATAGTCCTAGCTGGATCTGTATTCGTTTTACAAAGACGTGATAACTTCTCAAGTGGAAGAGAAGCACTGCACCTGTTCTAGCGTCAGAGCCTGAGCCGAGGGACACCCGGTGCCTCCACGCCGCCGGCAGGTCTCCAATGTCCTCTGCTGCCCCAACAGCTGTATAGCTCAGAGCAGCCTGAGAAGCAGATGAACTATTCCCTTCTGTCATTTCACTTGAAAGCATGAGCAAAACACATGAAGACAAAGCCCAGAAATGTAAAACACTGTCCTGCCCACCTGTGACGATGACCTTGAAGGTCAGCTTCTGGCCGGCCGCCTCACAGGTGTATTCTCCAGCATCTTTCTTCTCCACCTCTTGCACGACCAGACGCCGGGATTTGCCCTCGGACTCCACCTTGAATTTCTTGCTGGCAGTCACCAGTTTCCCGTCCTTGCACCACTTCACTTCGGTCTTGGCCTGGGCCACCTCGCAGCTTAGGGTGGCGCTCTGCTTGAGGGTGGCCTTCACCTCCGTCTGCACCTTCTCCTTGTTTGCAAACACCTCTTCTGTCTCTGTCAAATGGCAATGAAGCATCAAAAACCAAACTCAGGTACACCGTTGAGCAATTTCTTATTGCACGGAGCTTGTGCGACACCTGCCCCTGCCTCCCCCATATTAGCTAAACCCCTAACAAACATCTTCACCACGCCCCTCTGAGATAGGTAAGCATCCTTATTCATATATTACAGATAGTGAAGGGAGACGCAGAAAGGTGACTTTCCCCAAGTCCTATGGGAACTGCATGATTTGGAGCAAAGACTACAACCTGGGTCCTCCGCATCTCGTGTATGAGCCCAAACCATTGGTCTATCAATTTTTCTCCCCGCTTAGATCTGGTGCCTCTCTCCGTCTCAGCCCTGCACCCCAACGCTGAAAGTTTCTGGGTGTAATTCTCCTTCCAAGTACTAGATTGGCAGAAAAATGTTGGATTTTGCTCAATTGTTGTTTCTTTACTGTAACAGAGAGTCAGAAGTCCTGTTACTTTAACAGTGGAGCTGCCTAAGGTATGGCCCTAAGCGGGTGAAGACAGCTGAAGCTGGGCTAGCTGCAGGGAAGTAGGCAGCC